TTCTAAGAGACGTTCTTGATTAGGGACCTCCAATTAAAAGATAGAGTTAAACTGGAGAGTTACAGGTTTTATACGATTCAAGTGTTAACTCTACCCCCGGGATCTATGCTGGTGCAGGTTACACAGAACATGGTTTTTGTAGTGATTATATTCTAGTAGCAATAAAAGAAAAAAATGTACAGTGAAGGCTAAGTTCCATTTTCTTTCTAGAGTTGTGGAGAAGAAGGATGGGTTATGCACTTTTCTGTGTGTGTATACGCACATGTGTATGTGTGTGTGTAAGAGACAAAAGACACAGAGAGAGATTTAAGCAAATCATGTCAAAGTCACTTAATCCATTTCTTAGACAACCTGGGCTTCTGGGGAGGATAACAAAGGTGCTATTTCATAGTTTATCAGGCCGATACATCTGCAGTCGTGTGGAATATTGTCTTATTATATGAAATTGTTCCAGGTTCAAGACATTTCCTGATTGTAAAGTACTACATGATTCATCTTCAAATCAAAAAAATAATTCAGGGTTCTTCTCTCACTTTACCACTGTGAAATTTATGGGAAAATTACATCTGAAATATGTGTGGACTCTCAAGCATAACGGGAAAAAAATTATCATGTTATTACTTTGGTTCTTAAAAGAAAAAGGCCCAAAGAGAGTAGAGGAAAGACCATCTTGTAGAAGAATGCACTTGTGTTTCCTCGTTAGAGGAAGGATGCCCATGTGAGAGACTGTGTTCTATGTTCCTCAGAGAGCTTCAGCGACTTCCCCTCCAGTTCAGGGCTATACAAAGAAAAGCGCTCAAGTGTGTCAGTTATCACTCAGATTCAGCTTCGTAAGCCCTCCTGGAAACCAAGGGCAAGCAAACAGACCACCGAGTCATTGTCAGATTAATAGGTTATTGACGGGCGTGCTATCTTTCAAATCCTCAAACTCAGTGGGCAGCCACACTCTGTGGAATTTAGGTCACTAAGAAAAAAAGCAGAACTCCGCTATTTCCATAGCTATTATTTCTAATTATCCACTTTCCTTCAGAACACCCAATAGGAAATCTTTCAAATTATATGATGATAAATTGTTTTAGAATATATATTTTATGTTTGGTAGGAGTATAGATCCATTTGTGATGAGATTCTTCTAGAGTCTTAAAGTCACAGAACTGGTCCCGAGTCTTTGGCAGTTAGTGATGGTGCAGGGGACATGGGTGTTGCTTGAATGTGACTAAAGGAGGCCAGAGAGATGGCTCAGCAGTTAAAGGTACGTGCTACCCGTTCTAACAACCCAGGTTCAAATCCTGGTCCCACATGGAGGACGAAGAGAACTGACTCCTGTAAGTTGTTTCTGACATCCATATCCATGTCATGACACACAACACATACATCCACACATGCACACAGACAGACCTGCAATTACAACAAATAAATACATAGATAAATAAATAAATCAAATATTTTTTTAAGTAAAATGAATGAGGGATGGTGATGGGATGCGTGACAGAATCACAGCCTTCAGCAGTTGTGTTGAAATGGAAGGATACTAATCAAACTGAGGGAACACCTGATTTAAAAGATGACACACTACAACTGTGTATTGTGGGGGCCCACGCCATGACCCCAGCAGGTCGCATCCTGTCCATGCTGCCTCTCCTCCCAAATACTTTGCTCTCTCTGGGAAAGGTTAAGTGGTCTTGATCACCTCTCTACTCATTTCCCTAATCTGCAAAAAGCATAATCATTTAATGGCAAAGAAAGACATCTAATCTCGGATGACTGTAGATCATGGAAAAGCTTATGTTATAAAATTATAAATTTGTTTTTAAAGGCCTGGGATTGGACCAATTATTCTTACTAAAGCTGCCAAGCAAAGCCACAGAGATATATGAGAAGAAAGACTGTACGGGAGAGTCTATTTGTCTTATCTGGGTCGTGCTCAAGTGTGAGGAGAACCCTGGATCCCAGTGTCCCTGGAACTGTCAGTGCTGAGATCTCTGTTTGCTTCAGGGGCATTGAAGGCAGAGAACAGATGCTTGAGCTGTTAATAGCCTTGTTGGCTTATAAAGGATTTGGTTCAACGAAACGGGTGGCTGATGCTCAGCTGCAAATGGGACATTTGTGTCACCACTCCAAGGCTCAGAGGACATCTTGGAAGAAAAGGCAGAAAGACTATAAGGGCCAGAGGAAGCAGGGTAGAGGTGTGGAGCGCTGAGGTCTGGGCATGACCAGACTGCGGTCTTCTTGAACTCATCACGACAATAATTACCTGCACAAACTCCCCGCAAGACTGAGCTCGTCACCAAACTGTCATGGATGATTGAAGGCCTCCTGATCTGACCTTTCCTTTAGTAGGAATTTGAGGTTAATGGTTGATGAGGTAACAAGAGAGACCTTTTCTGCAGTCAAACACGGCTAGTAAGGTGCCACGCTCGTATAGACAAACACTCACACATGTTGTTTTAAAGAAGCCTAATGAAATTTACCAGGTCACAAAATAAAAGGCCTTGAGAATAGAAGGGAGGCGAGTGGACAAGAGAAAGGTGGCTGAGTAGTGCAAGGGCAGACAAGCTGCGGCAAGGTAAGGGGCAGGGGGCTATGACCGAAGTGTGTCATGTACCTTTATGAAAATACCAAAATAAAATCTGATTACACAAATTAACATATGCTGATAAAACATTAGAAAAGTCATCCTTATAACTGAAACAGATAGGAGGGGCTCTGCAGAAGTCTCTCATGGCAGGCTTGATGTGTGTGAAATCAAACTCTTAAAGTGAACATTCTCCTGACCACTTGCCTGTGATGGTAGCTTCACCATCTGACATTGGCCATACTAGATTTTGTGACTGCTAAGCAAAAGCCAGGAGAAAAAGCCATTCTCTTCACAGAGCCTTACAAAGCCACGCTGACTGACTCCAGGGGAAGGAGCCTGTCACATTGAACTAGGCGCTGGGCATTTTGGGTCCTGCACATTTTGCTGATGTTCATCCAGTGTACAAAGTCATCTGGCTAGAGATTAATTACGACTTATATTGGGTTTCACATATATGATGCAGAGAACAAATTACTAAGATTGAGTCTCATTTTTCTAGTTTATTAGCTGTGTGACCTTAGCAAATCTGAACTTCTCTGGTCCCCATTTTATCATAAAAATGGATATAAGAGTAATAACAGACCTCTCACTCCCAAGCATGAGATAAAATATGTGTTTCTCTGAAATTACTAGCCTTGCCAATTTTTTATTCTGAATGAGGTCATATTTATTTTGAAGCTAAGATTATAATGACTTAGAGATATTCCCTGCCTAAATGAAAAATGGTCCTCTCTCAAAGATTGTGCCAATTACTTTTCAAGAGTCTAGAACAGAAACGTATTGGCTGATGTCATTCTGGCGTTCACTGTCTGCCACCACACACTGTCCTGCTGACCTGTCCCTGCTGGGACACGAAGCCCCAACCCTGCGTCTACAAAAGGAGACTGTGAAAAGGTTTTGTCAGGTGTGGAGTTCACAGATGTGTGTGACGCTGCTGCCAGGAGATGGAGCCGAGCTGGCTCAGTCCTACACAGGGAAAGGACATTTCCCTGCGCCAGACTGGACTCATAGAGACAGCGGACCTGTGGCAGCCTCTCACGGGCCAACCCAGGCTCTGTAGTCTCTTGAAAGGACACTTTGAGTCACCCTTCCCTTCCCACAGGGATCAAGCCAGTTCAAAGAGCTTGTGGAGATGTGGCACGCTGTGATTCCTTCCAGCCATTGTCATCTGTCTCCCATCCTTTGTGTCAAACAACGTGTCTGAAGGGTTTGCAGACTTCTGATACTGCGCAGCATGGCTGGAGACAGACCCTGCTGAGGACCGCGAGGTAGGGGGAGCAGCTCCCGAGGCCCATTCGGCTACATTGATTGAAAAGCCTGTTTATGTGTGGATTACTCATTTATTAATGCTTTCACTCAGGCAGCTTTTTAAATGAGACTTGTAGAGTGGAATCAAGAAATAAATAACATTGTTTCCCTCAAAGAAGTTCCTACGTCGACGACGTTATCGGGTGTCCCGTTCTGAACTACAGAAGATCCCATCTCCCGTTTGCTTCCTTTCTGCCTAGTAAATAGTAAATAGTTCTATGTGATCAGTCCTAGCACTTGGACCTCTTAGGTTAAAACTTCTTGTTTCCACCCTTATTCTGTCATAGAACCCTGCAGCAGAGTAATGCTCCATCCTCCCCCTTCTGTATCTGGATCCCTGCCTCTTCCTTCCCCTTTCCCTCTCCCTCCCTCTCTCCCCGCTATATGTTTGGTTGAGTACATGTAACCATACAGGTACACATCTGCACTTGTGTGTGTGTGTGTGTGTGTGTGTGTGTGTGTGTAGAGGCCAAAGGTCAAATACAGAAGCCATTCTTCAGACTGTGCCCACCTCATGCTTTTAGACAGGGTCTCTGACTGAGAGATGGCCGACTTGCTAGACTGGCTGCTCTGTAATCCCTGAGGACCTGCGTGTCTGCCTCCCTGTGTTAGGATCCTCAGTGCTCCACCATGTCAGACGTTTTCTTCATGGTTTCCTATGATCAAAGTTAGGTCCTCATGTGTTTCAGTATTCCAGTCAATTGAAGTACTTTTTACTCAGTGAAGAGGCAACATGAGATGGCTGGAGTGTGTAGATGAAGAAGTGTTCTGAAAAGAGGGATTAGGAGTGAGGCATGAGGATGCGCACTCATCAGCCAGCACTGTCCTTGAAGGGTCTCAGCAAAGAATGTTAACAAAGGCTAGGAACCCAGAAGGGCTCAGTTGTGAGGCTACAGGTGTGAGATGTGGGGAACAGACAGGGGCACCGTGCGAAGTGAGAGCAGAGGCCACATCAGGCCTTGAACCCTGCTCTCAAAGGGAGAAGGGTTTGATCGCAATCGGATGAGACATGGCAAATCAGTTTGCAGGCATTTGTACTGAGTAGGACAACTCTTTCACCACCATGAACTTTCTCATTTTATAGAAAAAAAATTGGTTAATACACAAAACTCACTGTTTTTGTTGTTTGCTTCAGGTGTACAGCTATGGTGCTGATCTGGGTCAGGGCACAGTGTCTCCTCAGGTGACGGCTGCGGTGTTGGTCAGTCAGAACACGGTGACTCCTTGGGTGACGGTAGCAGTGTTGGCCTCAATCAGAACACGGTGACTCCTCAGGGGGCAGCACTGGTGTTGGTCAGTCAGAGCACGGTGATTTTTTTTTAATTATGCTGAAAAAATGAAACTCACTTAGAAATGAAATTTTGCTTTTAGATCAGTCCTAATCCTATTAAAGATATTTAATAAATAGTTAACAACCTTCTAAAATGTAGAGGTAGGGCACCCAATCTTGACTTGCCCTGTAGTCAGACTGATGAATATCTTAAACATCACCATAGGACCTTCATCCAGCAACAGATGGAAACAGAGGCAGAGAGCTCCCAAAGTTCAGTTGAAGATTGGAAGGAACGAGAATGTGAGCAAAGAGGTCAAGGCCGTGATGGGTTCACCCACTGAAACAGTTTACCCAAGCTAATGGGAGCTCACCAGCTCCAGCCGAACTGGGAAGAAACCAGCATAGGACCAAACCAGTCCCTCTGAATGTGGTTGACAGTTGGGGAAAACTGAGAAGCCAATGATAATGGCACTGGGATTTGTATCTACTGCATGTAGGGGGCTTTTGGGGATCCTATTCTATTTGGATGTATACCTTGCTCAACCTAGATGTAGTAGGGAGGGCCTTGGATATGCCACAGGGCAAGGTGCCCTGCCTGTGGGGGAGGTGTGGGAGGTTGTGTGGAGGGAGTGAGAGGAGGGGAGGGACTGGGAATTTGAATTGGTATTTTTGTAAAGTAATAAAATGATAATAATAAAAAAACAAAAAGCCAAATAATATTAGTGACATTTCAACATGTTTGAGGTATTATTTTAAAAAAGTTTCCTGAAACCTAATTTGCATAACATTAGCAAAGAAATAAAATTATTACAGTCATAAAAAGAAAAATAAAAAGAAAGGAAGCCAATCATACAGAGAAGGAATTATAGCTGGAGGGCAAATGAGATTCGTGCCAGTTTTTCACATCTTGCTCAACACTTGAAAATCAATGTAACCTGTCATAGCAACACAAGTCTAAGATAAAAAGCAATCTTGCCAACTGTTGTGAGTGCACCACCCAATCCAGAGAGAGCACTTTGGTGACATCTCATAGGTGCTCTGGAATACAACCTTCAGCTGACATGTTGTGATTAAGGGTTAAAGGATACTGTTCCTTTAACATAAGACAAAGGGAAGAGCAGCCTCTTATAACTCTGACTCACATTCTTTCCGGGAGTTTCTGCCTTAAGACAGGAGTGAAGGTGTGTGTGCGTGTGTGTGTACATGCACACACACATGTATATATTGAGGAGTTGGTTAGTTTATTGTTGTTATTTAAATTAAAATGTTTATTATATTTATAAAATATCAAAGAGTCAAAAATGACACCAAAATGTTAGAATAACAATAAGGAATTACATCAGGACCAGGGTACAAGCTCCTGCACAATAAACAATTTCTTTGCAACTAGCAATTAAATTTCCAGCTAAAATAAAAGGCAGTTATAATAGAACAAAATAAAACATATATTAAATATATACAGGCTTGACGTGCATATGTCTGAAGATATTTGGTGAAACAAAATATCAGATTCAAATAAATAGAGATGTTTCATGTTCATGAATTGAAAGGCTATCAAGATTTTAATTATTTCCAAATTAACTTATATACTTAACAAAATCTCATAAATACCTCAATAATCTATGTGATCGATAGCAGCACACTGATTCAAATGTTTCTGAGCAACAGCTAAAGTTTATGTAGAATAGTCAATTTAATACTGAAAAATAGGAGCGGAGTTAAAAGCTCACTAGAAACGGAATTTTACAATAATCATATATCCATGAAAGGCACTGAATAAATAGTTGGCCACCTTCTTTAAAAACCCAGTGCTAAACTACGGGACATTGGTCATAGTTCAGCTGCTGAGAATTTGCTGTGTTTAAAAACCTGGCCCCAAATTTGTGATGACTAGAGCTCCTGTTTTCTGTTGAAACATTTGTAGGCTTGCATTCCACATCCAAGTTTACTACACAAGAGGAGGGAGGGGAAACTGTGGTCAGTTTGTAAAATACATGAAAAATTAATTAATAAAAAAAGATTGTGTCCAATCTTTTTAAAACAGGAAACACTCCCTTTGTCTCATAGCTTCAAAAGTTGCCAGTTGCCCTGAACTAGACGCTTTAGGCCTAAGTAGGGTTGAACATCATAATAGTGGAGGCATACAACCCAAGAGGCTGCTCACCTCCTGGGGGTCAGGAAGTGGATAATAGAACTGAGGGCAAGACTGTGCTCACAGGCTTCCTCCTCCTCTTCTGCATTCCACTCTGGCCACGCCTCTCAGATATTGCTGGTCACATTTGGGGTAGCCCTTTTCCTTCATTACTCTCCCGGGATGTCAGTCTTGTCTAGAAATGTCTCAAAGACCTTACTAGAAACTCAAAGGCGTTCTTCAGTCTAATTTCATTGACAATTATATGTTGTTTCACATGTATCACCTACAGTAGCTGCCCCTTAAGCAACAGCTTTGGCCAAGAGGGCCACAGCCTGAGGGGATTCCGTTCCCTCAGGCACCAACTCTTTCAAAGCCAAGGGAAACTCTATTAAAACCTAAAGAACTCACAATCCAAGGTCTGAGGTGGAATTACGCTTGCTGGATAGAATGAATAGCAAGTCACTAATCTTCTCTCTTTGCTGGTGTCTTCCAAACCACCCAGCCTCCTCTCTCTGCCGCCACTTAAAAACTCATGCTACACGTGGTTCCTCCTTACTGCTTCCTGTCAGCTACTTGCTGACCAGTATCCTGCTCGCAGATTCATTTTATTTAATCAAACCCATCTTTAAACTCTTAACAAAAGCAGTAGGGAAAAAAATGCAAGACACTTTAAAAACAATATTCCTCAACAATTACAAATTAAAATCAACAATTGCACAGAGTGATCAATAATACTTAATGACAAAGGACTCAAGTAAAAAAAAGTGAACATAACTGAGCAGAGAGCCCAGAGACAGAATCACATGAACACTACTGACTCATCTTGAAAAAAGCATTAAAGGTGATTCAATAGAGAAGGCACAGGCTTTTCAGCAACGTGCCAGAACACATGTGCATCCGGATGCGCAAAAGAAGCCGGTATAGCCTTACACCTGTGGTATACCTAAATGCAAACCTGAACATTGACGCCAAACTCCAGAAGTCTCACAAGAAACCCTGGGGAAAGGACTAGGTGACCTTGAATGTGGTGATGGGTTTTGAGAAACAGCAACAGTACAGTCTCTGGAAGAAAATGAGACAATTGGCCTTTGCTACATTCAAACTTTCTCTGTAAAACCCACGGAAAGAGCTCAAAACCATGAGTTACAGGAAAGGAGAAAAACTTTCTAATGTATACCCAGAACATGAAAGAACTATCTTTAAACTTAGATATAAGTAAAACTTCAGAATTAAAAATAGGCTGAATATGTGCAGATACCTCACTAAATACAACAAACTGCTGGCAAATCGTACACAAAAAGATGACCAAAATAAATTTTCATTAAGGAATACAACTTACATAAAAATGAAATATCGCTGCATTCCAACATGATAGTTAAGGTGTATTGGTACTGATGCTGATTGCAGTCAAGATGCAGGCCAATAAGACCACTAATTCCTCGCTGAGGAGAGTATAACGTGAAACCATCGCTCTGGAAGATAAGTTGACAGCTTGCTATGTGACTAAAGATAGCTTTATCATACAACCTAGAGACACTTACCCAAACTGATGTGAAAAGTTGTGTTTATCCAGAAACTGACTAAGAGGTTTTTGTACTGAGTATAATCAATCACCCACACTGGAATAAATTAAAATGTATTTCAGTAGGAGAATAAACGAGAGCATTTACAATACAAAATAAAATATTATTTAGTAATATGAAAAGGTTTAATCATTAGGTAAATCGGGAGAACGATTGACAATTGGAAGGGGCCCATCTGAAAAACTTACATATGATATTCTGGAGATGATAAAGCTATACTAGTAGTCAAAGCCAGAAGTGCTTGAAGCAAGGGTGAAAGACTGACCAGGTGGAGCATGGGCTATCACTAGAGGAGTGAAACTATTTGATAGAATACCATCACAATGGGCATACTATACTATGTCCTTCTCAGAATCCACACTACTTCACAAGCCAAACTTTGCATGCAGATTTGTTGTCAAATCAAGTAGGACACTGAGGAGTCTGGAGGTTAATATAGAATATAAAACAGATCTAGTGGAGGAATCTAATTTCTCTGGGTGAACAATGATCTCCTGCTGCTCAATGAAGTAGAGAGAACTCAAGCTAGTCAAACTGACAGAAAGTCCAAGACAAGACATGGTGATGTTCTTTGGTGGAATAAACACAGATGTATGAATTGAATTACTTAATGTATTTTCAAAAGTTCGATGTGTAGAGTTCTTACTTTTACTGCAAGCCATCAGATATAAATAGAAGCACTGGCTAAACCTGGAGTCATCCCAGATATCATGGGATAAACTTGACCATGAACAAATGGAGACCCGGTCATGCAGAGGCTCCTTGTTCCTACACTTTCCATCAGCAGAATTGACATTCTGGCCACCTAGCATCATTTTCTGTGTTACAATTCTTTCTTATCTTGTTTATAAAATGCTATGGTAGTTTTAAATATACTTATTCTTTTAACAATTTCATTTCTATAGAGTCTGAGACATTCTGATCCACACTTCATTCATATTTTCTCCCCATCTTCCCACTGAACCCCTCTCCCAACAATCCCGCGTCTCCCCACCTTCCCAATGAACCCCTCTTCCAACAATCCTCCATTTCCTCATCTCCACATTGAACCTCTCTTTTCCAATAATCCTTCATCTCCCCATCTTTCTATTGAACCCTTCTCCCAACAATCCTCCATCATCTCATCTTCCCATTGAATCTCTCTCCCAACAATCTTCCATCTCCCCATCTTCCCACTGAACCCCTCTACAAACAATCCTCATCTCCCCATCTTCCCACTGAACCCCTCTCCCAACAATCCTCCATCTTCCCATCTTTCCACTAAACCTCTCTCCCAACAATCCTCCATCTCCCCATCTTTCTATTGAACCCTTCTCCCAACAATCCTCCATCATCTCA